ATATGTTGGCACTGAATATTTTACTTTAGTTCACGTGTCAAACTCAAGGCCTACTGGCCAGATGTGGCCGACTAAGGCATTTTATGACCTGGGAGATCTTCAAAGAAGTCTTAATGTTTTAAAATAAGAATTTACTGCTTTAAAGCCACTTGAACATGAACTACACCCTCTCGTGACGCATGTTGATTATTTTACTCTCAAAATGATAACATCCCACCAATTGGTGTAGGTGCACAGAGTTCAAAAGTAGCTGTGAAATTCTCCATGCAAACTCTCCTTTTCTTCGCATTATTTCTGGCTACTTTTGTTGCAGCCCATGAGAGGTGGGAATTTCCCATTTACAATTTTTAAATTTAAACTGGAATGCCCCCTCCAGTGGGAATTCTCTGTTGGAAATAGGGATAGTTTAAAATTCAAGATGTCAGCTACTTAGTACACCTGTACAGTGAGTAAAACTTCCTTACTTTTACTTTTAATCGTCTTTCTGTTGCATTAATTTCACATTTAGTCAGTCACACACATAGTTCTTCAGTGTTTATGTGGGCATGTTAAAACAATTTCTATGCCAGAAATGCCACAGAGAGCTCAGTTATTGTTTGTTAGTAGTGCTCAGTCATATCATCGAGAAATGTGATGTTTTGTGTCTTTGTGTTAAGCACGAAACGTCAAAGTGTATTACAACTGGCCTTTTGAGAGCCACCACAAAGCTCATGTGGCCCTTGGTAAAAAATGAGCTCAACACTCCTGATTTAGATGATTACTATTGAGTTGCAAACTGATCTGCAGTGTAACTAACACTGTTCATACAGTTACAGTGCTCCAGCTTCAACATTAAATATATCGCTTACACCTCTGCAGAAGTCACACAGGTTTRCTGCAAGCAAAACAGAAAAAAAAAAGTGTGTGTGCAACCCTCGTGGCTCTGCTGTCACAACAATGCGAAAGGCACACTGGCTTGTTGCCCACTAAGCCTGCAGCCATGTAAATTAGACACGCTTTGTTAAAAACTGACCTCTGCCTGTGTGGTCGGCACGGGAAATAATATTTGCTCTGGAATGCACTTAGCGTATTCACATGTATGCTTGATACTGCAGACACAGCATTTATTGTTCAAATACACACACAGCTTAATGACAGCAAGCTGAACTAACCAAAATGTACTGACATTTGTTTGCACAGAAATGAGTCGCAGCATCTAAAAACAATTAATGCATCCACAGGTTCTTTGTGATGACTAAAAAACATAACTGAAGATGGGAGACAGAAGAAACTCCACAAGTGTTGCTGCATCAGGAGGCTATAAGAGGGAAAGTAACAGCCAGGTGCTGCTGATCAATATATCAGTCAGTTGATCATCACCAGTGTGAGCACTTTTATAAAAGCAGGAGATTCTGCAGTGTGTGTTTAAACAAAGCCAAGAAAGAAAAACGTCAACAATGACCTTGGAGACTGCCTGTCAACCTGGAACCATCATCCTGCAGAGAGAAATGTTTTTTTACGAGTGGAAAACATTAGAACAGCTGCCAGTCTGCACAGGAATCACATCAATTTCACCCCAAGGTCAGACCGTGCAACGCTCCATCTCAAACCTTACAGGACAATTAGTGAAAAACTAAGTAGCCCATGTATGACTCAGTCTCAATTCACGGGCTGGGTCCTCATGAGTATGTAGCCCAGCTGGGCCAASTGGGCCACGTCCTTCCCAGTCCAGGTAGGCTGCTTAAAACTGCTGTGAAATGAAACGGTCTAGCCTCGTCTTGACGGTGAAGACGGTGGAGTTTTTATTTTTTTAACGAGTCAGCGTAGTTTGGAAATTTATCAAGGACCGAAGAATTTGTTTTTAAAAGTAACTTTAACAGCTTAGCTTGCCGACGTCAAGAGAAGGCAAGACGGTCTCATTTCACGGCAGTTTTAAGCAGCCTACCCGGACTGGGAAGGTTGTGGCCCACGTGACCCAGYTGGGCTACGTGCTCATGAGGACACAGCCCATGAATTGAGGTGTGTCTCAATTATATCAGGGTTTTTTTTTTGTTTTGGTCCACTTCAGGTAGAATTTTAAATAAATCAGGAACTCTACAAACTCAGATTGTTTATAAAAAATGGTGAGGACTTATCGGACACACCATCAAAACTTCAAGCAGTTCAGAAGTCAACTTTTTATAAAATCCAGAGTCAAAAACAGGAAATGTGGTGTCATAAAAACTGTCAGTTTGGCTTCCTGTGGCAAGACCAACATGGCATCGAACACGTACATAAGAGTGAAGTGGAATTATTTTGGTTTCCACAGAGACCGTCGATTAACCACAAATGATTTCCACCTAAACTTCCTTCACACTGTCTAAAGAAATGCAGACTAACACCATTATGGGAGGTGTCGACTGGAGGATAACAGCCGTCATGTTTCTTTACATCAAAACCACAAAAAATATCAACAGTGGTCTTTTTTTATTCTTATATTTTAATTATAGATGATGCACAAACTGTTTTTGCCAATGTTCTGCAATGTGACACAAACTTACTTAACATCATGGTGATTTATATTCTTGTAGTGAAAGCTTCTATGCTTCCTCAAGGACAACACGTGATATTAAAACAAAAACAGCACAAAAACGAGCTTTGAACATTACAAATACATGGCTGCTTACACTTTTTTTGCTTGTCAATTTCTAAAAGTGTTGTAAAACACAAAAAAACACACAAAAAAATAAAAGTGTAAAACAAAACGACAAGGTTTTTCAGTTAATTTGTTGCCATATTTTGTTGACGAGACATTTGATGATGACCCTAATGAGCTAATGGCATCAACATTTTTTTCTACAATAGCATGTACGTGTGTATGTGGTGTGTGTGTCCTGATGCATTTCAATAATCTGTAGAAAAATCTAGAAAATGCTATGTTGGTCCTCTGGACGAGTCCTGTTTTGTCTCCATGAGATTTCTTCAGTCTGAGGAGTTACAGGTAAGCTCAGCCTTATGAGCAGTATTTCTACATGGTGAACAAAACATTTAAGATGAAAATCAAACTGGTTGTTCACACGCAAAAGTGGACCATCAGACTAATGGTTATCCTCATTGTCCCCCTCTGTTATTGCAAGTATGACTCATCTTTCTGTGAACAACAGGGAGAATCAAGACCTTAACGATTGTTAGGCTGATGGTCTTTTCAAACAATAGGGATAATCATATTTGTTTTTTCAACAAAGGAGAACACATCCAGAGAACCTACTTAATTTTTTACGAAATGAATGTATATACAGGGGTTGGACAATGAAAGTGAAACACCTGTCATTTTAGTGTGGGAGGTTTTGTGGCTAAATTGCACCAGCACGGTGGCCAGTCTTCATTAWTTGCACATTGCACCAGTAAGAGCAGAGTGTGAAGGTTCAATTAGCAGGGTAAGAGCAAGGTTTTGCTCCAAATATTGCAATGCACACAACATTATGGGTGACATACCAGAGTTCAAAAGACACATTGTTGGTGCACATCTTGCTGGTGCATCTGTGACCAAGACAGCAAGTCTTTGTGATGTATCAAGAGCTACAGTATCCAGGGTAATGTCAGCATACCACCAATAAGGACGAACCACATCCAACAGGATTAACTGTGGATGCAAGAGGAAGCTGTCTGAAAGGGATGTTCGGGTGCTAACCCAGATTGTATCCAAAAAACATAAAACCACGGCTGCCCAAATCATGACAGAATTAAATGTGCACCTCAACTCTCCTGTTTCCAGCAGAACTGTCCGTCGGGAGCTCCACAGGGTCAATATACATGGCCGGGCTGCTATAGCCAAACCTTTGGTCACTCGTGCCAATGTCAAATGTCGGTTTCAATGGTGCAAGGAGCGCAAATCTTGGGCTGTGGACAATGTGAAACATGTATTGTTCTCTAATGAGTCTACCTTTACTGTTTTCCCCACATCCAGGGGAGTTACAGAATGGAGAAGCCCCAAAGACCTATTCAACCCAGGCTGTTGCATGCCCAGAGTGGAGCATGGGGGTGGATCAGTGATGGTTTGGGCTGCCATTTCATGGCATTCCCTTGGCCCAATACTTGTGCTAGATGGGCGTGTCACTACCAAGGACTACCGAACCATTCTGGAGGACCATGTGCATCCAATGGTTCATGTATCCTGAAGGCGGTGCCGTGTATCAGGATGACAATACACCAATCCACACAGCAAGACTGGTGAAAGATAATAAATTATTGTGGTCTAAAACCAGGTGTTTCATTTTCATTGTCCAACCCCTGTATTTATGTATCTATGTGTGTTTGTGTGTCTGTGTATGTATGTTTATGTTTTTAATGCATATACAGTATTTATGTATGCATACAGTATGTGTGTGTGCATGCATACACAGGTTGATGTTTGATTGTTTTATTTTTCAGCAGCAGCTGCATCAGAAACCTTTAAAATTTCTTCAGAAACTTTCCAGTTTCACTCTGATGAATCAGTAGAATAATTCTGATTATTCATACAGCAGCACTGCAGGAGTACTTCTATCTCAAACTAAAATTTCAACCCAGTGGAGACATTTAGGGAGAAGAACATGTGCAGGTTGTTTGTCAACAGCAGGGCAGGCTGATGAAAGCATGTTGCTCTGCAGAATCCCTACAGGCCAGCTGTTGACAGCTGTTTGTGTGTGTCTGCGTGCGTGTGTGAGAGAGAGAGAAGCGTTACCTCCTCAGCCTGCAAACCGAGGCAGAAAGTCAGTGTTTTCTCTGGATCCATGGCGTCAGCCGAGCACCAGGCCAAAACAAAGAAGTCCCACAGCTTGATCACTGATGTCCCACTCCACAGACATTCTGTCTATCCGCCATTCTCCTCCCTCTTTGCACGGATGGATACACCTCCTTCCGCTTCACACACACACCATGGCTGCTCCACCAAATCTCACCGTGCACGCGGCTGAGTCGTCGCCGTCATTTCTCTTGTAGTTATAGCAGAAAGAGACGGAGCTGCGCATGATGTCACGCTCCTGCAGCCACCAAACTACTTGCAGGGAGAGATGCGGCTTTGATTGGCCGGAGCTCCCAGCAACAGACAGAGGCTGCCTCCCTGGGATTTATGCACACACACACTTCATCTGATCCTACTGAAATACAGAGAAATAAAACAAGAACATGATCTCTTAATATGGAAATGGCCTTAAAACTACGATTTTCCTCAGTGAGGATCGACAAAATTTATTCTGAGTGTCAGTAACTAATGACTCAAAGCTCTAACTGTGAATACTGAGTGCTGAAATCTGCTGAGGAAACAGAAACTCAGTTGTTAAAGCTAAGAGAAAAAAAGCAGAACACAATCTGAAAGCTAAAATTAAGAGAAAACCAGCTAAAAGTAATAAAAATTTGCTAAAATAAAGAAAATGCAAGCTAAAAGTTAAAAAGAGCTAAAACCTAGTTAAAAGGAGCAAAAGACAAGCTAAAAGTAGAAAAGGGCTTGTTAAAAAATAGCAGAACCATAAGTTTACAGTAGCAAAAGGAGAACTGAAAGCTAAATGCAGCAAAAAAGCTAGCTAAAACAAACTAAACATAGCAAAAATCTAGAGTAACTGTAAAAGCTTAAAGCAACAACAGACTAGTAACACAGTAAAAGCATAAAGTAACAAAAGGCCAGAACAACACAGTAACTAAAAGCTTAAGTTGCAAATGGAAAGCTTAAAGTTGAAAAGCAGTAGCTAAAGCTTTGTGCTCAGTCCATTATTTTACACAAAATACACCTGACTGCTCAGCAACCTTTATGTCTAATCTTAAGTTCGCTGATGACACCATTATGTCTCATAGGAACAAGGAAGAGGCAGTTTAGAAGGAGGGCCAACACCTGGCATCATGGAGTGAGGATTACAACATGCACAGGGCTGAATATACTGTACATGAATAAAATTTAAAAATGATCAGATTTCAGAAGGTCAAGGTGAGCCAGTTTATGGGCCTCTGTGAATGAGCATCTGCCCTGGAAGGCCAACACACAGGAAAGACCCAGAAGCACCTCTACCTGAGATGAGTGTAAAAAAAATAAACAAAAGAAAAAAATCCTCAACTTATGACAAACTTTTACCACTACCATTCAGTGTTCTGTCACCAGCTACACCAAGGCTGAGCAGAAGACACTCCAGAGCAGTGGTTCCGAAACTTTTTATCTTCTGACCCACAAAATATTCATGGCAAAATCTTGTGACCCCAAATATTACTGGTCTGAGTACACAAACTTTGTTAATAACCCTAAAAATAAAGGCTACACAAATATAAATACTTATTTATACCACACAAATATAGATACTTATTTATATGTATTTTGTGTTTTTGTAATAATTATAGGGAAAATATTACATCACCAATTATTTGATCACCCTTTAAATTGATTTCTGCAGTGCAGTGGTTCCCAAACTTTTCAACTTTGACCCACAAAAAAGCAATAGCAGAGACCTGTGCCCACAACTATTTTTGGATGATAAACATTTGTATCAGGTCAACATGGGCATAGAAACAATATTTATTACTCTACATTTACACATTTTAGGCAACTAAGGCAAAAATGTAATCGATTTAGAAAATCTTTTCAGGACCCAACCTTGATGTTTCAGGACCCCGCTTTGGGTCCCAACCCCAACTTTGGGAACCACTGCTCCAGAGGGTGCTGAAGGCATCAAAGTCTTCAGAATTAAGATCAGTACAATTTACAGCCGGTGCCTGAGAGGGGCACACAGCATCCTGCACATCCAGCACATCCAGCTGCTTCCCTCAGGTAGGAAACTCAGATCAGTACCAGAACCAGCAGACAGTGAGACTCCTGAACAAAAATAGATCTAATCAAACCTGTGGACAGATGGTTCTGAGTTCTGACAGATGAAGTTATGGTGAATGGGATCAAAATGCAGTGTTTTCTCTGTTTGTCACAAGAGGGCAGCAGACAAATACACTTCCGTTCTTTGAGCCTTTTTTAAGTTTGCTTGTTTATCAGGAGGTTGGCAGTTCAATGACCTACTGAGGAAATAGATCCAAGTTTAATTCTATTGTTGACGGTCACAGTTTGTGTTAAAGTTTAAAATGGCACTGCAGCATATGTTAAATTATTCCAGCTTAATGCAAACGTGTTTTCTGCTCTTTAAGAACATGAGACATTTAAAAGAAATCTATAAAAAAAAAAACACATTACATAACAAGTTTGGAAAGAAGTCTGGGGTTTTCTGTTTTAAACAGAATTTCTTTTGGCAAATACTAACAAATAATTTTAGATTAAATTCTGCGTTTTTGCCCTCAGCTTCTTTTTTTTCATCCAGTGATATCTTAATAAACTTTTTTAGTGTTACCAGTGCACATACCTGAAAGCAGGCACACCCTAAATACTGTAACATACATTCAAGACCATCCTGCCTTTTTATTGACATACTTTATACAAACTTTACAGCACTTTACACTAAGCAGCTAAACTTTTTTTAAATGTGCAACTTGTTTTAGCTTCACAAGAAACTTTAAGTGACATCATCAAGTGTTTACCAAGAACAAAACAGTCTAAAAAATAGGAACACTGGACCCCAGTTTGCTGTCATTTTTTTCTAAGCAGATACTTGGTCATTATGTTTTAGTCGACAATGACACAATGCGACAGAACACACTTCCTCTTACTCATTTCAGCACATTCACACGAGTGTAAACACCCAGATGTGCAGAAACTCAATGCACAAATGCCCGGTATTGACTTGCTGTAAATAAAAATATAGCTAAACATAAAGGTATGCTTGTTACAGATGCAATGTAGCAAAGTATAGCTAATGGATTTTTTTCTCTTCACAAAATGAAACTAGCATTCCTTGACAGAACACGTTGCATACCAACAAAGCTTTTGCACTCTGAGTTTTGGTGGGAATAACTTGCAGCTATCAAGACAACATTTTAGCTCACTTATCTGCTAAACAGACAGAGGACGAGCCACTTTTAGTGTTGAGTCACAAGCTTATTAGCTATAGATGTGCTAAGATGTCACAAACTGCAACATTACTGAGGAGAATTTAAAGGAAGCAACTTATTTTACATTTTGTTCGTTTTTCCATGGTAAAGTTTGCAGTTTGTTGTAATGACATCTCTGTGCCCACTGACCAAAGCTTCTGAGCTGTGACACAGCAGCACATCTTCTCTTTTCCCTTCAATCCAGAGACATCTCTGCTTTTAACCCACAGAGGAGAGAACATGCAGCGATAATGAGAAACCAAGAAAAATACATGCAAAAAATACTAGAAAATTTAGGAAAGTTTGGATTAATGTTTATACACATGTAAAAAAATGTCTTAACTGTTTTATCTTTACATTTATCTTAAGCACACAGTTCAACCTTATGTTCTTTTTTACATGTGGGCTCCTGTAAATTTGTTTAACACTAAGTAAAACGTAAAACATTTATTATTCTTCCCCCCCTTTTTTTTTTACACCTGCTGATTTTAATTCGCACAATCTCACACAGGACAGGGATTTTCAGTTATTTGTCAAGCAAACAGGAAAACAGCACAATGACAAAACACACACTGTTTTGTAAGACGGGCAGTATTCTGCACTTTCTGACAGTTGTTAAAAACAGTAATAATAGGCTTTTCAACGATAGTATGGAATGTTTCCTGTTGTTACAGATGTGTTATTTTTAGACCCGCCCATCAGACCATGAGGCTGAAAATGATGTCACACCGGAGGAAAAAAAATACAGAGAAATTTTATATAATTTTAACTTCCTTTTTCTGTTTAAACCCTCAATGGAAAGTCCACAGGGCAGCTATAATGAAGCTTAAACATGTGCTAATTCCAGGAAATGCAGTGAGATCTGGTTGCTGAACCAGCCTGCAGTCACCACACTGTTAAATTCATATCCTGCGCCTTATGGATGAGTGACATTTTATAATAATGACAACCCGGTGCATCGAAGGTTCCTTCCTTGCTTCCCTGAAGCAAAGAGCTCCTCACATTTTGTATCATTAGCCATCATTTTGTCACAGAAACAAAACAGATCTTTTTGTTTAGCCAACTTGCATCTTGGAATTTAAATGTTTATGTCATATTTTGTTTTGTTTTTTAATGTATTTGATCTTCAGTTAAAATTCTGCAAGGACAGCCTAATTAGTTTTTGTCTTGCAAAAGTCCAGGATAAAAAGTATGTTTAAATGATCTTTTAGTGACAGTCATGCTAGATTTCTTCACTCACAACTTTTCAGGCCTGCGCTTCTCTGTGAAACTGAATGGTCATGAATACAAGGAAAAGCTGCACCTGGTAGGAGTAAATAGAGTATAGAAAGGCAGCGCTGCCGATAAATTGCAAGTGATTTACGTCCATAAAAAACTTCATTTGGGTCTAAATCCAGACTGTCTGTCAGTTTTTATATTTTTCATAGTATGTTTCAGGTTCTTTCTTCTGCTTTTCCTCTTTGAAAGGCTCATGTTTGACCTAAATGCAAAGCCACAGGTTTTTAATTTTATAAGACACGCATATAGATCTGAACAAAAATAACCTCAGCAGCTGCTGATCTTTCATTTTAAAAGTCAAAAAATAAAAAAAATCCATATCAGGGTTAATCGAAGCTTAGATTTGCAAATCATTAAAAAAAAACGTAAAACACAGAAATTGTAACATTACTTTTTTAATTTGATGAAGATAGCATATACTGCATTTTAACAAAGTGTTTGAAATCGATTGTTGGAATTTTAAATATAAAATGTTGGATGTAAAATTTCAGCAGCTCAAGCTGTCAGGCCCTGAACTATCAACAATTTGAACATTTTACAAAAACTGTAGTAGCACTCTTATCAGTAATATTTCTATGCCATAAGTGCATTTTCATGTGTATTTTCTATTTTTACACTATTTTATATTGTGTATTTTTCATGTACATTTTGAATAACACTTCACATGAGGTATTATTTGTTCCTCACCTTGTTCACTCAATTCGAATGATCTGAACAATCACATTAAATGTTAATAAGAGTGTGTTTGTTTCCTATCAGTCAAATTTTAAGGTCTGTAATAATAACTGCTGACGCCCAGCCCTCGAGAGCTTTTGATGTTACATTTTCAGCTTCATAAATCAGCCGTCCCTGCTCTGAAATACTACAGCTGTCAAACGTTTCGGCATGCAGAATAAGTTTAAGTGTACTCTTTAAAAAATTCTTCAAATGTTTGTCAAGGAATAAGTCCACTAATCTGGATGCAAACAAATGGCAGCCCCGAGACTATCCAAACACAAAACTTCACACAGTTTATGGCCTAATGTTTGTGAATGTCACTCCCAGCTCTCACTGGTGCAAACACTTCACTCTTGTGAGCAGTTTCTGGGTTACTGAAAGATTTGTCCCCTCTGAAGGTAAAAACACATAAATCCGCACGCAAAGACAGAACAGACGGATCTGTCTGAGGTTGTTTTGCACTTTTCCTTCTGTCCTGTTTCTGTCTTTGATGGAGGATTAATCTGACAGACCCCGCCCTCCTTCAACAAAAACACACACACATACACACACACACACACACACACACACAGGCCAGGCTCGGAACAAGCCCCGGCAAGTTATCAGGGACCTCAACTCATATGTGCCAGACAACAAGTGTTGTTGTCAAACTGCGTGTGGAGTGAGACAAGCAAAAACATCACATGACAGAACATCATCCGGTTACATCGCCACGCAGCCCTAATTATACGCCAGTGTATCATTATCAAAAAGAAAAAAAGAGCTACAGGTTTTGTTTGCCTGCCAGTCAGAAAGGATTACCGTCTGAGCTTTGAGCATTGTGAAGTAAAGCGGTGTAATCTCTTTCATGTAAAACTAACACATACTGTAAGTCTTGTGGATGTCTGGATGGATGCAAAAACCTTACTTGTTACTATCAGGTTTTTCATTTAGCTTTATTTGTGGTTCACTTTGGCCTACGTTCACAATGCAGGCAAACGCGACCCAAATCCCTTTTTTTTTTTGAGTATGTTTCTGCAATCCATATCGTATTTTTTCATGACAATCGACCTGAACATGACAAATCAATGTTTTGTTGTTGTTGTTTTAAATCCAGCCCAGGCCTGTTCAGTATGTTGGTTTCATATTTGATGTTTTTCAAAGTGACCTGTCTGTCGGAAATCTTGTAACTCCAGCGACAGAGCAAAAGTCCAGTTGCTTCATCTTTTTTTTCTTTCTTTATTTTAGTTTGCCATGTCCTGGATGACTGTGGATCCATAGAAATATATGATAGTAACGTCGGTCTCAGTCTGTATCAGTACTAAAGTCACAGAAACTTTACTTCCAGCACATCGCTACTGTTCCAAAAATAAGGCTCTGCACCGGAGCGACCGGCCAGGGGCAGGTTCAAATGTAAACAGTGCAGTAAATGTCAGTTAATTATTTAATTGGCTCTGATTGCACGACTTCAGAATCGACGTGCTAACATGTAGCATACTTCTGTTAACATTTAGCAGCGTGCTGCGTATACACGTCATCTTCTGCGGGTTGCATCAGTGCCGTGCAGAGGGGAGCCTGATGGGTGTGTCATTTAAAATGAACATTCACTGAAAGAATGAATGGGAAACAGGCATTATAAGCTGCAGTGTAAACAAAGCCCATGTCATAAATGTGCACATGTAGCAGTTGTTAACATGACTGGACAGAACAAGAACCTTTCAACAGAACCCCAGTTATCACTTTAGGTGTTAAACATCCTGCCAGATACAGCAGAAGCGCTGGGTGACATTATAACTGGATTACTTTTTCACTATTTTTTGTTCGTGCTGCTTCCACAAAGGATTTTCACAAAGATATACACAAAAAAAAAAGACTCAGGGTCCCAAAGGAGCATCACGTCCCAGAGAGGAACAGAGGAGAACATCCAGAACAAAAAAGTCTGACAGCAGGAACCCAGTTTGCAGGAAACGAGTCCAGCTCTTGTCTGCAGTGTCTGCTCTCCTCACGTGAATAGGTTCTTTAAAAATTGCTGACAGAGATGACTAATTCACTTCCTAATGCTGCAGCTGCATTTTACATGTTCAGCAGAGTTTGTTTCCTGCATCATGATTCAGTGCAATGATAAAAAAACAACTAACTTTCTGTTGAGAAGTATTTGATTTCTTAAAAACAAAACAAAACAAAAACAAAGAAAAAAAATCCAAGCTGATACCGAGACATGCCTCATTGCACCACATTACAAACAGCTTCTGAGGTTTATACTTTTCTGTGTCACACCTGCTCTCGCCGTTTGTGAGAAGTAACGGTTTCTTCATAAATTTTATTTTTTGTATTTTTTTTTTTTTTTTTTGTTACTGCTACTGCAGAGCTTGTGTTTTTTTCACCCCCTCTTTGCTTTTGCACACTTGTTGCTGCACATTTCAATCCATTGAATTCTTGGCTGGCCAGAGTTAACCACTCCCCTGGTTTCTATTTTCTTTTCTTTTTTCCTTGTTCTTTTCCTTCTTCTTCTTCCCCTGGAGTCCTGAGACACAGTGACCCACTTTCAGTTCCTTCCTCTCTCAGAAACAGAGCGTGCATTAAGGTTAAAGTTAACGATTTTTTGTTTGTTTTGCAGCTTTTGTGTTTTGTATCACCTCTAACTATAATTTCACTCTTGTATTTTATCCACCTGGATTATTTTCTCTCTCTTTCTATCTCTCTCTCAAACTGCAGAGGATGGGAGGGGGACTTTGCCTTGATTCATTACCAGGGAACCCCTGGCACGACGTACCCCCTCCTCTGCATGTAAGGAATGTGATGCACCCCAGCCTTCATGAAAAGGCACGCTCATTCAGATGCAGACAGGAAAACTTTATGAAAGTTTGAGGATTTTTCATGCATAACAAGTCCAGAGGAGCAGAAAATTAATTCAAGAGATTTTCATAAATACCTCCCCCTCATTTTTTCCCTTTTTATTAGCTGTGCACAGCTGCATGTTGGAGCTGCAGAAACATTGACAGAAGTCATGTCATTATACAGCAAACCTTGATGATTAGAGGTGTTCCTTCTAAAAAGCATTCAGAACATGTGTTGCGAATGACTCTCAGCTACTACCACACCAAATTTCAGCTCTGTATCTGTAAAACTGACTGAGATTTTTGTATTTGCTCGGGTTGCTTAGCTCTGGCGGCCATGTTAATTTAGATGAACTCCAAGCATTCAGGTGTAGATGAACATCATATAATTTCCTGTGTGTTTAGTTAAAATCTGTCAAGTGGTCCATAAGATACTGTATCTTGCTAAAGCTAAAGCCAAACAAACAGAGATGCAGAAAAGGGCAGAGATTTTATTGCCTCCTACTTTTAGCAGCAGGTTATGGCAATCTGTTTGTGTATTTATTCCATCTCCTTGATATCAAGCATAAGTTTTGCTCAGTAGTTTGCGATTACACTGCACTAGTTGTATATTAAGTCATACTAGTTTAACATTTTTGGTGCACCAGTTCAACAAACACTTTGTAAGTGTTTTGCCAACTTTTTCAGGAACTTTTGCCCAGTTAGTTGGAACAGAAGTCATGTTGGTTCAGCAATTTTGCAGCACAAAAATCCAAACCAGTTGTTGTTTGTTTTTAAACACGCTTGTGGACCACTGGATCAAAGTTAACTAGTAAGCATCAAAAACCCTTTCATAACAGCTAGTCAACATAAATTATGCCTGTTGCTGAGCGCTAAATGTGTGCATGTTTTGACTTGTTTGTCTGAAAATGTAACTAATATTTTCAATCTTGCTAAATAATGTGTCTACAAATGCCAAAAAGTTGAGTTTTTTTAAGCCACTTGATGTCAAGGATATCTAATAAAAACACAAACTGCTTGCCTTACGAAGATACCAATACATGAACACTAACAGCACAAAGCAAACCAACACTGAAAGTGAATATTTGTTTATTTTATTTAGTTACTGCACTCTTTCTTTTTCCTCTTGTACCTCTTACCTTTACCAATTACCTCTTCTCTTCTCCCTCTTTATTTTTCAGTTTTTACCTTCCCCCCACAACTGAGTCTGGCAGGGCCACGGGTTCAGAGACGTGCGAGGCGAACAGCAGAATGTAGGTCAGCCATGGGTGCTGAGTTACCGATTAGAAACAGCTGTGTGTTTGTGGGCCGGCCGCTCTCTGTGCTGCAGCGAGCAGCAACTGCTGAGCCGCACAGACCAATCATTTCACTGTGGCGTCTCCGGCTGTAAAACTCTGCACTCAGAGCCACTTTGGACCTGTAAAAAAATAAAATAAATAAAAATCAGAAATAAAGGGGCTGAAAGAGCGCTCTGGTTTTAGTCTGCACTTTTTTTAGCCATTTTCTTGCACTGAAATGTAAACTGGCCTTATGAATCCCATTTATCACTGCTGCCTCGCTGATCTCAAAACCACAAAATGTTTTTTTTTTCTTTTCGTCCTTTGTGCACATTTCATCCCATCAAAAATTATCCACGGAGGCTCCACTGCCTTTCTACTTTCTTCAAACAGTCTGGAATATCTGTGGTTCTGTCTATTGTTATTGCTCACCACCAAAGGCAACTGTGCACTTAATTCAAGATGGCCACCACAGCTAACCAACATTAACCAAACACACAAATAACTCAGATTCACAGAAATGAAGCTTTAATTTGGTGCAGTAATAATTGTCAGTAAAACCAACATGTATTCTAAGACAGTGGTTCCCAAACTTTTTATCTTCTGACCCACAAAATATCCACGGCAAAAACTTGTGACCCCAAATATTACTGGTCTGAGTACACAAACTTTGTTAATAACCCTAAA